GGGCTCGCGGGCACCGACCGTGGCCGCTCCGGGCGGATCCCCACGTCCCGCCGGGAGCTGGGCGGCGGCTGTTCATTTGTGTTAGGTCCGAACGGCGTTTGTGTCTCCAGCTGACCTCCGGCTCCCCGTTCCCTGGACGTCTTGGCCTTTTTGGTTGTTCTTCTTTTCGAAGTATACATTTTTAAAGTTTTTGTTTTACTTATCCGGGACGGGGAAGGGGAGACGTGAATTTCTTTTAAATCAAGGAGTTGTGGAATTTTAGATTTTTAAAACCAAATTTATACTAAAACCTTATCTTTATGGAGACCAGCGCTTTGTCTTTTTCTTGTGAAGAAAGCCGGTAGCCTTGAACTGCGGACCTCTCCGTCAGTAGCGAGGGTTGCTTGTTCCAAACGGCCGACTGACCGAAACCAGTGCTGTGGTTACGCGGTCAAGACGCCGGCTTCATTTCATCGCGACTTCCGGCGTTTCAGAACTGTAGGCGGATGGAGGGGCGACCTTGCACGAAGTTCGCCAGTTTAAGGATAATTCATCAACGTGAACCGCGGTCCAGTGCATTCTGCCTCAGCGACCCTCTGGGGTCGTTCTTCCCACTGCACCTGTTGGTTTCCAAGACTCCACTCCTTCGTTAGGTGCAGTCGGGGTTACGACCCTGTGCACAACAGGACGAAACTGCACGGTCCTGCGCCATCCTCACAATTGAGCCTGTGCCTGAGCCATTCATTGTCAGCCATCTCACCCCCACCCCCAAACACATTCACTTTACCAAACACTATGGCCTTCTCCAAGGACTGGCCTCCTGACGATATGTCCAAAGTACGTAAGACGAAGTCTTGCCATCTTTGGCTCTGAGGAGCACTGGCCTTATAATTAACTCTTTCACTCACTGCCGTGGGGCCGATGCTGGTTCATAGTGACCCCGTGTGGGTTTCCAAGACTGTAATTCTACAAGAGAAAGCCTCATCTTTCTCCCGCAGGGCACCTGGTGGTTTAGAACTGCATCAGAAACCCTGGTGGTATGGTGGTAAAGCTTTGGGCTGCAAGCTCAAGGACCGCAGTTCAAAACCACCAGCTGCTTTGCAAGAGAAAGATAAGGCATTCTACCCATGAGGGCAGTTTTGCCCTGTCCTATAGGGTCGCTATGAGTCAGAATTGACTCTGGTGGCGAGTTTGGGTTTTGTTTGTTTAACCTTGCATTTAGTTACCGGCCCAATCACTATACCAGCAGGCTCCTCCTCCCCCATTAAGAGTACCGCCAAGGAGACCTAGAGAGCAGTTCTGCTCTGTGACACAAGAGGGAGCCATGCAACAACAAATGGCCATTACCCACCACCACTACCAACAACCTTTTTCCTTGGGGTCCTCAAAAAGTAAAGGACCCTTCCAACCACCACTATCAACAATATAATTTTTCTTAATGAGCATCTTCATAAAATATAGAGGAACACCCCCCCAAAAAAATATTGTATTTAGCTTTATGGCCCACACATTTTAATATGATCCTGCTCAGATTGCACACTAAAGCAGATTCTAGGTTAACTTCGATAATAACAACAGCCATGAAATTAAGAACCTGAAGCACTCTCCCCAGAATGAAAGATTGGCATATACTGGGGTGCTTTAAGAAGTTTCTGTAAAAATTCCATTACCTTTCACTTTCAGTTTCCTACAATTTTTTAAAAGCTCCCCCATATTTAAAAGAGCCTTGCCCGGAGCCCTGGTGGCATAGTGGTTACGCGTAGGACTGTGATCTTCAATGTCAGCAGTTTGAATTCACCAGCTTCTCCACAGGAAATAGACTAGCGGTTTTCTACGCCTGTGCGGTCTCCATGGATCAGCATGGACTCGATCGTCGTGAGTTTATGAGCAATCGCAGAAATCCTAAGGAGCAGTTCTCAACCTCATAGGAGAGTTGGTGGTGCAGTATTTAAAGTGCTCAACTGCTAGCCCAAAAGTCTTTGGTTCAAACCCAGTAGCCACTACATGGGAAAGTTACAGTCTTGGAAACCTTTGGGACAGTCTACTCTGTCCTATAAAGTTGTTGGCACTCAGTTTGCCATCAAATCAGAACGTTTGAAAGTACTCGATAGCACCATAGAATAAAGTCTTGACGAGCCGCTTAGAAAGAAAGTCACTGTCAGAGACCCCTGGTGATTATTTCTCTTGAAATTCAAAACTTACTCCCATTGCATCAATTCCAGCTCGTAGTGACCCTATAGGGCAGGGTAGAACTGCCCTCGTGTGTTTCTGAGGCTATAATGGTTCACAGGAGTAAAAAGCAGAGTGGCTGGTGGTTTCAAACTGCAGGCCTTTTGGTTAGAAGCCCAAGAAGTACCTAACTACTACACCACCAGGGCACCTCCCATTAAAGTGACAGCCAAGAAAGTCCTAAGGAGCAGTTCTACTCTTTAACACATGGGTCCTGGTGTTAGTCCAAGGACACTCGTGTGTGTAAGAGAGAGTTTTATATCAGAGAGTAATTGTCCATTAAGAAAACATCCCAACACAGTCCAGTTCAAGTCCGTAAGTCCAATAACTGCTGTATCATCCCACCACAGGGGTGGGCCTGCTCCCTACTGATTTTGGTTTTCACCCTACTGATAATGGTTCCTATGGAGACCCAGAGACCATTCCCTAGACCACCCCCTCATTACTATGTACCCTATAGTGTAACCCCTTCCTGTGACATATGTCTCTACCTGTAATTAGTGGGCTGGCATGCCCCCAAAAGGTATATAAACGTGGGTCAGCAATATAGAGCTCTCTCTGACTCTCTGACCTCTCTGATCTCTGACTCTCTCTGACCCCTCTCCCTTCCCCTCTCCCTTGTTCCCTTGCCCTCCTTCCCTTCTTCCTCTCTCCACATGGACCACCAAGCTGGGC